GTACCCCGGGTTTAGGGGAACTGCGTAAATTTTGTGTCTTGCTTGTGGTCAGTTTATTATCTACTTTTATTTTTGGTTGATTGATTTTGTACATCACCTATTTAATTTGCATAAAGAGAGGTTGAAAAATTAATTCTGCTAATTTTTTGGAGTTCACCCTATCAAAATTGTATCAAAACGAGGTTACTTGATTAGATTGCATGGATTTCCTTGTGCAAATTAAATGGAGGAATCTTTAGATACCATAATTAAATTAACGACATCAAATTACTTCATTTAGAAGGCCAGATGAAAAGAGCAGGGTATTTCTTCTACTTTAGNAGTTACTTCATTTAGAAGGCCAGATGAAAAGAGCAGGGTATTTCTTCTACTTTAGAAGCACTTGTTACAAAAGATCGGGGGAGAAGTAAAACCAGAAATTACAGTGATGGTAATCATNAGAAGCACTTGTTACAAAAGATCGGGGGAGAAGTAAAACCAGAAATTACAGTGATGGTAATCATGACAAATCAAGAGGTAGATCCAAGTCAAAAACTATGCAGTCAAGAAAGGGGGTAAAGTGCTTCCATTGTGGCAAGCTCAGGCACTATAAGAAAGAGTACAAAAAGTATAAACGAGAACAAAATCAAAAAAAGAAGATAAAAATAATACAACAGTAGTTGCATCTGAGGCTGATGTCATTATTGTTTGTGATGATGCTTGTGCTAATCTCGCAAGTGAGGACTTTACTTGGGTAATTGATACAACTTATTTTCATATTGCTGCACGTAGAGATTTATTTTCTTCCTATTCCAGTGGTGACTTTGGTTGGATTAAGATGGGAAATGAAACAAAGTGCAAGATTGCAGGCATTAAAGATGTATTACTTGAAACCATCATTGGGTGTAAATTGCTTTTTTCCATAGATAAGCTTCAACTTGATTTCTATTCGAAAACTTGATGATGAAGGCTATCATAATCACTTGGGTGATGAAAAATGGAAACATAGCAAGGGTTCTCCTAGGTTATCCAAGGGAAGAAGATTAACAGTCTCTACAAGACTAAGATAAATATAATCAAGGGTGATGTGAATGTAGTTGAGCATGAAATAGGAAACTTGGCCATATGTTTGAGAAAGGACTTCATATTCTTGCTAATGAATAGCTCCTACCTAACATTAGAGGTATGCCACTGAAGCCTTGCACTCATTGTCTTGTTGGAAAATAAAATAGAGTTCCATTTATTAAATCCCCTCCATTTAGAAAAAATAATGATTTGGATTTAGTTCATACTGATGTTAGCTATATGAAAGCAAAATCTTTGGGTGGTGCATTATATTATGTGACTTTTATTGATGATTACTCTAGAAAGGTGTGGACATTTGCTTTGAAAATTAAAGACTAGGTACTTGATGTATTCAAAGCTTTTCTTGTGAAAGTTGAAAGGGAGATAGGAAGAAAGCTAAAGTGTATCCGAGCATATAATGGTGGTGAATACTATGCACCTTTTGAAGGGTAATACAAAAACCATGGTATCAGAATTGAGAAAACTGTTCCAAAGATCCCACAGCATAACGGGGGTAGCAGAGATAATGAATAGAACAATTTTTGAGAGAATTATGTGTATGCTCTCTCATGCAAAAATATTTACTATCTTTTTAGGGTGAGGCGATGAGGGCAGCTATTGATTTAATGAATATTTCTCTGTCAGCTCCTTTGGATGGTGATATTCTTGAAAGAGTTTAGAGAGGTAAGGATGTTTCTTTTAAGCATTTGAGAGTGTTTGATTGCTAATTATTTGTACACATTCCTCATGATGAGAGATTCAAGCTTGACAGCAAGGCTAAACAATGTATCTTTTTAGGTTAGGCACCAGAAGAATTTGGTTACAGATTATGGGACCCAATTGGCAGAAAAATTGTCAGAAGCAGAGATGTGGTTTTCTTTGAAGATTAAACCACTACAGACTTGAAAAGGTCTAAAACTCCAGAGTCTTTCAGTGAGAAACTTGTTGATTTGGGTCTAGTTTCTCCTTCACCCATTATGCTTGATGATCATGGGGGAGATGTCCAAGAAGAACAGGTTGATATGGTTGATGAACCAATAGTTGTTGTTGATGAAGTACCTGTACTTAATCCTATAGAGCCAGAACATCTAGAGTGTCCTTCTAGAGTTACCTCAGCACGTAGAGCCAATTCCTTCAGAACCACCGGTTGAAACTTAGCTAAGAAGAACTACNTGTCCTTCTAGAGTTACCTCAGCACGTAGAGCCAATTCCTTCAGAACCACCGGTTGAAACTTAGCTAAGAAGAACTACCAGAGAGTGTCGACCTCCCAAACAGTATTCTCCTAATGAATATGTGTTGCTCATAGATGGTGGAGAGCTTGAGTTTTGAAGAGGTTATGTCACACACTCAGAAGAAGGNACCAGAGAGTGTCGACCTCCCAAACAGTATTCTCCTAATGAATATGTGTTGCTCATATATAGTGGAGAGCTTGAGTTTTGAAGAGGTTATGTCACACACTCAGAAGAAGGAGGAGGGATAGAAAGCCATGCACGAGGAGATGAAATCTTAGCCTGCAAACCACACCTATGAGTTGGTGAACTACCTAAGGGTAAGAGAGCACTCAAGAATAAGTGGGTGTTAATATTGAAAATTTAACCAAATAGCTCACAGCCCAGGTACAAGGCAAGACTGGTTATGAAAGGATTTGGTCAGAAAAAGGGCATTGACTTTGAAGAAATTTTCTCATCTATGGTAAAGATGTCTTCTATCAGAGTTGTTCTCAACTTGGCAANGCACTCAAGAATAAGTGGGTGTTAATATTGAAAATTTAACCAAATAGCTCACAGCCCGGGTACAAGGCAAGACTGGTTATGAAAGGATTTGGTCAGAAAAAGGGCATTGACTTTGAAGAAATTTTCTCATCCATGGTAAAGATGTCTTCTATCAGAGTTGTTCTCAGCTTGGCAGNCCCAGGTACAAGGCAAGACTGGTTATGAAAGGATTTGGTCAGAAAAAGGGCATTGACTTTGAAGAAATTTTCTCATCTATGGTAAAGATGTCTTCTATCAGAGTTGTTCTCAACTTGGCAAACAATATGAATTTAGAGACTGAGAGCTTGACAAGAAGACTGCTTTCCTTCATGGTGACTTAGAGGAGGAAATCTGAATGGAGCAGCTAGAAGGCTTCACATTTAAAGGCAAAGAGGATACAGTGTGTCGGTTGAAAAAGAGTTTGTACGAGCTCAAGCAGGCATCAAGACAGTGGTACAAGAAATTTGATTCTTTTATGGTTGACCATGGTTGTACCAGGAGTACTACTAATCATTGTGAAGAAATTTTTAGATAGAGGATCTATCATTCTCTTGCTTTATGTGGATGACATGTTGATAGTTGGTCGTGACAGTAGTAAAATTAATTCTTTGAGAAGAGAATTCAATAAGTTCTGTGCTATGAAAGAATTGGGACTGCCAAGACAGATACTAGGTATGAAAATCTCTCATGATAGGAGTAAAGGAAAATTGTGATTATCTCAGGAGAGCTATATCGAGAAGGTGCTAGATAGGTTCAACATGAGCAAGGTAAAACCGGTGAGTTCTCCACTTGTAGGTCACTTTAAGTTGAGTTCCAAGCAAATTCCTACAAGTCAGAAAGAAAGGGAAGAGATGAATAGAGTGTCTTATGCATCAGTCGTTGGTAGTTTGATGGATGTCATGGTGTGCATGAGGTCTGATATTACTCATGATGTCAGAGTAGTCAACCGGCTTCTCTCTAATCCAGGTAAAGAACGTTGGGATGCAGTGAAAATGGATTCTCAGATATCTCAGATGTACTTCTATAGTTTGTTTGTGTTTTAGCAGAGGTAAACTTATGCTTGATGTGTTTGCAGATGCATATATAGCTAGGGATATCGACTCTAGGAAGTCTACTTTAGGTTACCTTCATGGCAATCCAAATGACAGATGTATGTTGCTTTATCTACCACAGGCTGAATATATTACNTTAGGTTACCTTCATGGCAATCCAAATGACAGATGTATGTTGCTTTATCTACCACAGAGGCTGAATATATTATTGTCACTGAAGCCAGCAAAACGTTGTTGTTAATGAAGAAATTTGTACAAGAATTGGGTTTACAACAGGAGAAATATGTTCTCTATTATGACAATCAGAGTGTTGTCCATCTCAGCAAAAAAGATTCAAAAATATGTTCTAGGGAGGATTGTTGTAAACCCATTATTGGAATATAGTGGAAGGTTGAAATCGATGTTCATGGACATACCCCGGGTTTGGGGGAACAATGTAAATTTTGAGTCTTCCTTGCAGTTGATTTATTATTTGTTTGTATTTTTTATTGATTGATTTTAACACATCTCCTATTTAATTTATATAAATAGGGGTAAAAAAAATTAATTCCGCTATTTTTATTTTGTGATTTCACCCTATCCTTGATTGGTCACGAGTGATACACCCAAAACTAAAGGAGGAGTTTCTAGAACTTACTGATTCCAACAGTTTCCTTGGGAGCTATTTGTTTCAGAAGTAGAGCAGATCATTGGTGCGCTGTACTAACGGCCTTTTGGGCATAAAAGCGAAACCTATTGCATGTTTGGAGTTAAACACTCGTGGAGGTCCTGATTGTGATTAGGGATGGCAGTAGGGGCAGGAGGTATAGTCTCCATCCCAGTACCATCTTAAAAAAACTCTGTTCTTTTCCGGTTCAACCCTATTAATGGATATAATTTTCTTCCTCGTCCCCCTCCACGAATAAATTTGTAATTTCCACCCCGTCCCCGTTCCCGTCTCCCGCCTTCACCTTTGCCCCCACTCTCGTCCATCTTACCCACTCAAGTCAAAGTTCAAATCAATATAATCTAAAATTCTAAACAAATCTAACATAACATAACAGGAAAAAATAGAGAAGATTACAGACAAAAAAAAATTGAATTAGGAGTTCTCAAAGGAAAATTAGATACATTTTGGGAAGAGTAGGATAGGGGAGCACAAGCTTTCGCACTTCACCATTTCCAGAACACATTGGAACCACACTTGTATTTGTCCTTCCCTTTGCATTCCACCTCCAAGTCATCAGAGAGAAATGATACTTTCTGCAACAACAAACCAAGAGAAAACAAACTGAGTGAACAAAAATGATCAACTAAACCCAGAAAAGAAATAAATACAGTGAATATGCTTCAAACTAACCTTCTGCTTGGCAAGATCTTGGCAGCCAGTGAAGTTCTCAGGGAACTGACATGTTCCAAATTCAACAGTGAATGCCCTTGCAAAGTTTGCGCCGCTTGTAGCCAACCTCTACTTATCATTCAATTCATATCATGACATAAATATTTTTAAATATTTCATTGCACAAATAGAGGCTAGAAACTTATAAGGTGGTTCAGTGTACGAGAAGATAAAACTAATTATGAAAAACCAACATTAGCATAAAAACTAGGCAGCTATCTTGGTCTATTAAATACTTGTGAATGCTCACAGTGGATGTTCCGGGCACTGTGGGGTCTAGAAAATGTTAACATGCGCAGTTTTTTCATGCAAGCAGAGAGGATTTTTCGTGACTCCAATCCATGACAGGCATTAAATTATACCATATAAAAAAAAAAAGTAACCTTGTTTTCTTTGCTCTTTTCAAGTAGTTCTTCAATGATTCCAGCATTAGCAGAAGAGGTGGAGGCAGCAGTTGTAAAAAGGGCAGCTGCAAGGCAAAGAATCGCTGCTCTTCTTCCTTGGCTGGCAGAATCGTGCAACTCTTTTGAATCAATATTAGCCTGTTGGGCCCTGATCACTGGTAGTTTATGACGGGAGAAGCCACGGAAGGCATAGAGGCATGCTTCGCACCGAGATCTGACGATCCGGCACCCGATATGGCGTAGTTGCATGCCAGCACGCTAGAGTTCCTGGATGCCATTGCAGGTTGTGGTATGACTATGATCAGAAGAAAAGGAATTCACTTCACCCCAGAACAAAGTAGAGAATATGGTGTGAGATGCAGCAGTGTTCGATGTTTTTTTTTTTGGTTTAGATAGTGCTGAGGCGTGATGTGAAAAGGGAAATTGAGGTTGTGGTGGGAGTGTCGATAAGGTGAGATTGCCACACTCCCGTTGGGCGAATTTGTTCTCCCACTACTCTGAACCAATCGCTTTTGTACGGTGATTTTATAATTTTTTTACCTTTCATTTTTTAATTTAGAGTTAATTGCAAATTAAACACTGAAATATCGTTCAAATTTTAATTTGTACATTCAAATATCAAAACTTCAATTTGTTGTCTAAAACTAAACGGATAAATTATACCTAAATCTCCTTATGCTTGTCATTTAATCATTTAGACTTCCTCACATTTAGAATATTACTCTAACATCTCATGACGTTTATACACATATAATGCGTAATCCCTTTTCGTTAATATCTATTAATATAACATTTAAAAAATATGATTTCATCCTAATAAAAAAATATAATTTCATATTACCCTTTATTTTGTAGGTTCGATATACTCTAAAGTTCAAAATTAAGTTTATCATTTGAATGCTCAAAAAAATATAAGTATTTATATAATGTTTTTTATATCCAATGCAATATACCACTTAAATAGAATTCATTTGAATGTCCAATTGAGGAGACATTTTTAGTCATATTTGAATTTTCAATGGATGTAGGTGTAATATTTCAAATGTGAGGGGTCTAGGTGATTAAGTAACAAGCTTGAAGGAGTTTAAGTATAATTTATCCATTTAATTTTATACGGTGAATTGACGGTTGCTAGCTTGAGGTGCGTATTGATACAAATTTCTATATTTGAGAGTACAAATTAAGATTTTTGATCTTTGAGGGTACAAATTAAGATTTAAATGATCTTTCGAAGTGCAAGTTAAGATTAACCCTTTAATTTATTTCTTAAACTAATTTCATTTTTATGATAGTGTAGTTCAAACTCACATTTTTAATATAAAAGTTTGCTTGCAAATCACGCTTTCAAGTTTTTTTATTTAAATCATATTTTACAAATGCATTTTATATAGCAAATTAGATAAATATGTGAGTCAAAAGGGATACGAATTAAGTATAGATCCTCATATATATAACTAAACAATAGTATAAAAAGACCTGAACTCCGACAAGAAAAACATGAGTTTTTATGAAACAATTAGAAAGGACAACATTGAAAAAATATAGTTAAAGAATTGCCTTATATGGGTGGAAAACTCCTGCTGCTCCTCTACGTGCCAATTCGTGTGGTGTGTTTGAGGTTTAGGACCCGCTCTATAATCCAAAAATGTGTGATTGGTATATGTCAGCCACCGAGAGATCTTTGGTCTAATAGTACTCTTTATTTTGTGAAAATTTTGTCTTCTTAGGATCAAGGGTTCATGTTTTCTCCTCCNTTTGAGGTTTAGGACCCGCTCTATAATCCAAAAATGTGTGATTGGTATATGTCAGCCACCGAGAGATCTTTGGTCAAATAGTACTCTTTATTTTGTGAAAACTTTGTCTTCTTAGGATCAAGGGTTCATGTTTCCTCCTCCTCCANACTTCCTCACATTTAGAATATTACTCTAACATCTCATGACGTTTATACACATATAATACGTAATCCCTTTTCGTTAATATCTGTTAATATAACTTTTAAAAAATATGATTTCATCTTAATAAAAAAATATAATTTTATATTACCCTTTATTTTGTAGGTTCGATATACTCTAAAGTTCAAAATTAAATTTACCATTTGAATGCTCAAAAAAATATAAGTATTTATATAATATTTTTTATATCCAATGCAATATACCACTTAAATAGAATTCATTTGAATGTCCAATTGAGGAGGCATTTTTAGTCATATTTGGATTTTCAATGGACGTAGGTGTAATATTTCAAATGTGAGGGGTCCAGGTGATTAAGTAACAAGCTTGAAGGAGTTTAAGTATAATTTATCCATTTAATTTTATACGGTGACTTGACGGTTGCTAGCTTGAGGTGCGTATTGATACAAATTTCTATATTTGAGAGTACAAATTAAGATTTTTGATCTTTGAGGGTACAAATTAAGATTTAAATGATCTTTCGAAGTGCAAGTTAAGATTAACCCTTTAATTTATTTCTTAAACTAATTTCATTTTTATGATAGTGTAGTTCAAACTCACATTTTTAATATAAAAGTTTGCTTGCAAATCACGCTTTCAAGTTTTTTTATTTAAATCATATTTTACAAATGCATTTTATATAGCAAATTAGATAAATATGTGAGTCAAAAGGGATACGAATTAAGTATAGATCCTCATATATATAACTAAACAATAGTATAAAAAGACCTGAACTCCGACAAGAAAAACATGAGTTTTTATGAAACAATTAGAAAGGACAACATTGAAAAAATATAGTTAAAGAATTGCCTTATATGGGTGGAAAACTCCTGCTGCTCCTCTACGTGCCAATTCGTGTGGTGTGTTTGAGGTTTAGGACCCGCTCTATAATCCAAAAATGTGTGATTGGTATATGTCAGCCACCGAGAGATCTTTGGTCAAATAGTACTCTTTATTTTGTGAAAATTTTGTCTTCTTAGGATCAAGGGTTCATGTTTTCTCCTCCAAAAAAAAAAAAAGAGAGAGAGTATATGTCTGCCAGTCCATAAGAACAGGCAACCCCATTTATGTGTACAAAATAGGTTTCCTGCTTACTTCCTTAAACATTAATCAAAGGTCAAAAAGCTTTTGTAGTAAGAAACACCGAATATGCCATTTGTTCTGAATGGAAATATTCTCCGATTTGGGAGGTCGGACAACAACAATAGTACATTAGGAATTCATGGAATCAAACTATAAATTCAATGAAGACAACACAAAATGAACAATCATTCGCCAACATACTGAATTTAGTTGATAACCCTAGACTTACTCGATGTTCAGGATGACTTCTGTTAACCAAGATCGCAATTCATGATGCAAAACGTACATATTCTAAAATTTTAAGTTTTGCCAATTTTACTTACAAACATGGTTTGTTTACAAATCCAAATTTGAGACTTTTATGTCGTTATGATATCCGGGGGTGCACCGGTAATTAATTGGAGGTGAGATTTAAAAATACTTGCAAATGCACCATGTGCGTTGCACATAAATAGTTTTTGTACATAAAAATTAATATAACATATTAGTATATATGTATCTGAATTAAATATCATCTCAAATTTACTAGACTAATTTCTATTATAGGATTAAGAAAATTTTGTATATTCTCAAAATTCGTTGTTCTAATCATAAGAAAAAAAATATATCAAAAATAGTTAAAGTTCTAGTTTTTTAGAATTTTTTGATTGAGAGTGTTTTTTAAATGATGTTTGAGAAATTAAACTTTTTGAAATTCATTCAATTAGGATTCCACTTATAATTCTTTAAATTTGAATAAAATAAAAGTAATTGTTAATATACTACTCACATTGGAATTTTATTGTAATTAAGAATTAGTTATGCCAATTAAGATAAGTTTTAATATACAACTCTATAATATATATTTTAAACAAATCAAAATTTTTTTAAAAAATAATTTTTATTTAAGAATACACTACAAACTATTTTCACATAAAATTTTAATACAACTTGAAAAGTTTATTCTGACTGAAAAATTTTATTGATGTAGCGTAAATAAATTTTTAAAAACTATATATACAATTATTTTTTATCTTAGAAATANAAAATTTTAATACAACTTGAAAAGTTTATTCTGACTGAAAAATTTTATTGATGTAGCATAAATAAATTGAAAAAAACTATATATACAATTATTTTTTATCTTAGAAATAAAAGGATTAAATTTTTAATGAAAAAGAAAATAAACATATGTGCAGATAATGTTATATTTGCGTATGAGATGAGTAATATTAGATTAATGAAGTTTTTGACAATTTTTTTAACACTTTATTGAAAATATAAAGATGCATATTTTTTAAAGATAATATGGTCAATCAAAAAGTTTCATTGAAATTGATATATATACAGAGAGAATATATAGATACTTAAAAGAGAGGTTAGAGGTAATTTAGAGATTTAAATATATAAAAAAAAAATATTAGATAATTTAGATATTTAATTGTGAATGGATATAGTGGTCTTTGTAATTTTTTATGAGGGAAAAATAGAGAATTAAAAATTTTTCATGNATAGATACTTAAAAGAGAGGTTAGAGGTAATTTAGAGATTTAAATATATAAAAAAAATATTAGATAATTTAGATATTTAATTGTGAATGGATATAGTGGTCTTTGTAATTTTTTATGAGGGTAAAATAGAGAATTAAAAGTTTTTCATGTTAAGATACTTTTATTAGTAGTATAAAATAAATATAAATATAGATGATGGGTATTATGTTCATGTAATAAGTGAGGAAGACATCAAACCGTCTTTCACTTAATATAATTGCATGGATGTTTCTAATGTAGGAGCTTTTGGAATTACCCTAATATTACTTTGGTTAAATATTGATACCATTTTATTTGAGTCAAGGGGGCTAGAAACAAAATAAAAAGAAGTAGAGGAAGATATGAACACTCAAATAAAAAATAGTTTTATTCAAGTTGATTACAAAGAACACACTTATCTTGGACTCTTCAACTTCTACTCTTGGACTATTCAACTTCTACTCAACTCTACTTCCTTCAAACACTAGAACATATATCCTATTTATATAGGTCTAAGTCATAATTCCTACNACTCTTGGACTATTCAACTTCTACTCAACTCTACTTCCTTCAAACACTAGAACATATGTCCTATTTAGATAGGTCTAAGTCATAATTCCTAGCATTACATTTGTACACAACTACCTCCACTAACTTTTGTAACTCTTAAAATATAAAGAGATAACTATTACTCTTGTCTCTCGCTATTTCGATATTGATTACGCACTAACATATTTCTTCCA